TTTGCCCTGTGTCTGTGCTCTTCTGTCTTCTATAAGTTGTAGCCACACAAAGGCAATAGAAGAGTCTGATAACAAAAGTTAAATTAAACCAAAATGAATTAAAACATAAAGACTTTTAATCTTTTTAATGCAAAAAGACTGCTCGTTTGGCTTAAATTCAAAAGATAAGGTGGTGATTAAATCCAATAAGACAATCAAGGGATTTGACTAGAAGCTTTGTACTAACAGCGTACATACAAAAAGTGAAAAATACAGTTCTTACCTGAAAAAAGTTTATTTTTCTTTACATTCAAAACACCAGTGGTGTCTCCAATGGTCTACTGTAGGTGCTGGCTCAGCCAAATAAGATTTGGGGAAAAAATGTCAAGGATTATAATTCACATCACGACACATTAAAATCTGTTAGAAATGTCCTGTGATCCAAACCTCTTCGATGTTTTTCATTATGATTAAGATTTTTGTTCATGGTTACAGTAATCATCAATTTACTTTGACAAATCACAGCCTTGTTTGCATATTTGGAAAAAGGACACACTGTCAGGAGTGTTGTTTTTTTTGGCCAAGAAAAAAAAACATCTTTCCACTCCCATTGCAAATAACTTAATCGAAACACAACGCCTTTCTTCTTCTTCCCAGCTTGAATTAAGGCCAGAAACTCATCTCTTTCAACATCCTCTTTCTAATAGCTTCTTGCATTTCTCTGATTCTTCAGATCTCAATTTTAAGTTTATTTACACTTGAAATAACTTATTTTATTATTCTTTTCATGCAAAAAACTGACCCAATTATGTTTTAATTCAATTATTGGAAAACAATTGGTAACACTTTACAATTACTATCGTAACTGTCATGGTGTTTTAAAGAGATCTGACCCACATGCAGTAAAACCACTCAGAGAAACCAGAGTAAAAGTTTAACAGGTTTATTAGGAATCCAAATGGGTTGGATTCAGGTGAACTCAGAGGGCTGGTGAACTGGAACTGGAAGTAAGAGGGGAAATTTACAGAGGTTAGTTCAGGGTCCGTGGGAACTTTGAACGACGTCTTGCAAAAACAGAGGTAACTGGACTCACGTTTGCGGAGAAAGGTTTCTTCCCAGTATCCAGTCGGTGTGGGTTTTTCCAGAGATAGAGTGGCTTGTTGGAGGGCGGACAGGTTTTGGTTTGGTTGGTTCCTGAGGAGCAATGAAGCGGACTGCCACTTAGATTTCCAGGAGTACTTGAACGGGACGTGTGGAGATAAATCCTCTGCTCAATGTGGAGCTCAAACAAATCCTTCCAGGGGGGAGAAGGCCAATAATCCAGTATGCAGGATGACTTCCTGCTGAAAGGCAAAAGACAAAAACAACGTTAGAACTCAGAGAAACAAAGACTCAGTTAGACTCAGCTAAACTCAGCTCGGCTAGAGTACCCAAAACTGGCAAACACTCTGGCGTCGAGGTAGTGACAGTCCACTGCTCAAATACTCCCCAGTGATGAGCCAACCAGCCCCAGGTGGAGGACCAACGAGGACAGAGCACCACCTGATGGTATAGGGAGAGAAAAACACCAAAACACAACCCACACAGACTGGATTCCTAACAGTAACCACCATTTATAAATGGTAATGAGACAATTTATTAATGATTAACAGATAGTTTATTAATGTTTAATAATCATAGACTGCATCTAATTATAATTTATAATTGGGAAGTAGATATAACCCTGTCATGTTAGTTTAGCCCTAACCCTAACAACATTAGTGGGCTTAATATCTTAAAAAACTATCTATTTACCTTTTATAAATGGTTTAGATGCATTTTTAAAAGTGAAACAAATGTCAATAAAAATCATATTTTAATCATTAATAATGGTTTTGATGGTTATTGTAAAGTGGAATTAAAAAAAAAAAAATGTTATGTTCCCATTGTATCCTCACATCCAATAAACAGCATTAGCCTTATTACCAAGGACAAATATTTCATTAGGATTATCTTCACATATTTGCTAAAACAACATTTAGATACATTATGGGGCACATTTTAACAAGTCATATAAAAACTGAGTAAACAGTCTTCACTACAGGGCCTCAGCTCAACATGAAGCCATTAACATGCTAAAGATGCCTGTAAATGCTATACTGCAGATGAATATAAAAAAAAAAAAAAAAAAAAAAAAATGAAAAACCTATTTATACTTTAGTATACCATCAGAAAACTCATAAACTAATTTTACTATAAAGAAATGGGTTTTGTTTTTGATAATTAGGATGTTGCAGGACATCTTTATGGCCCTCTTTGACAAAAAGTTTTTTATATGCTTATAAAATAACGGCATTTACACATTTTCTGGGCCTTCTGTCAAAGTACTCAAATATTTTACAGATACAAAAAATACTTTATAAATTTGCATTATCAACTATTTGTATAACCATATTTCTTATACCTTATTTGTAAAGAAAATTTCATATAAGATAACCTGGTGATCTTTAAAAGTGTTCCTCTCATAGATCATCGTGGTTCCGAACGGCTATATTTAAAGAATACTCAGAATGTTTTGGGCTAAATTAGATACTAACCATAGTTTCTCATACATATGGCCTGTATAATTAGTAAATCTTTTCCAGAAGCTAGATGTTAAAGGATTGCAGCTAAGGGGTCACAGCCCAGGCTATTCTGTTTCATTTTCCATATTTTGTTCGACAGAAAATGGACGCCATTGTGACCAGAGGTCAATCAAAAAATAGCTTGTTACGGTTCATAAATAATTCATGTGACCTCTTTGCCCATCCTGAGCATTTTCTTTACCAACAGGGGGTATCTGTTGCTATGGATCCAGGGCTCTGAGGAAGTGAAAATTGAAGAAAGAAGCTTTCTGTTAAATAGGGCTTTTTCACTTCAAAAAAAGAACTACTAATGTGTTTGAAAATAAGCTCAGATTTGGCTGTTTTATTTGTGGCTGATGTTGAGGAAAGTCTGCTCACGCTTGTTGTGTTTCATAAACGGTGTCACAGATTGAGGCTCAAAACGCCTCCCTAATGTTGTGCACACTTTGGTTTTGGTTTCTGCAGTTAGTTTTTTGAATTAGTTCATAAATGGCAATAAAAAAGCCATGTTCTGACTTTATTTAGTCAAAGACTTACGCAGATAAGGCCTGATGAACTGAAAAGGGACAAAACAACATTGAAATCAGAATAAAGCATTGATTTTGCACTTTCCAAGAGTGGTTGTAGAGTAAAAAATGAGGCATTAACAGCAGACAGGGCTGAGATTCTGATATTGATATCTTGGGTTAAAGAACCATTTCTCACCATCCTAAGGTGACAGCAGCTCATGAGAAAGGGGTTCTTCCTTTAACCATTGGATTGTATCGCAGCCTTACTTCTCTCAGTCTGCCCCAATGCAGCCATGGCTACAGTTTAGCTCACCACCATCAGCATGAGAATTTGCCAAATAGTAAACTAAAAGTTTACAACCCGTTATGGAAATTCTGGAGACTTGTCCATACCTATTTTTTTTTTTCACGTTCAGGCAATATTACAATAATTTTGTGACCACAGAGCTCAAGACTTCTGCTGTAAAGTGTATTCAAAATATCTCCACATTAAATTCAAATATAAACCTATAAGGTTAGTTTGACATGAGAGGGAATGTGGCCTTTGATGAAATCTAGCCCAAAGCTAAGAAGGGTTTCCATCTTAAAAAGACATTTTGCAAAATCTCCATTTAACATCCTATAATAGAAAAACTCTGTTTTACCAGAACACGTATTTAGACTAGAATGCTTATTTTATCTTGTACTATCCCCTCTTTAAGATAAGATTAAATGCATGAATGTGTCAAAAATTACTGACCATAAACTGCTGATCAGCTCATTTTGGAGCATTTCATGTCTCACTGTTTGTTTTATGATTATTATAAGTTATGTTTAAATGAACCCCTGCAGCTTTAGGATTCTATGGAAGAAATATATTGATCTAACTTTTGTTTGAGGTACAGCGCCCCCTGCTGGCTTGTATGTTTTACCTTGGTTAGTAAATTACTTTAGGTGAATGATGCAGCTTTGATTATAACTTTAATTTCAGTAATTATTGCAATAAGTGGGGAGTTGTTATCCCATTTATTGGAATTCAGAGGTCTAGCAAGTTTGGCTTTTTTCAGTTTCCTTGTCCTTCAGCAAGAAATAAGGAAGGAAACTAATTTGTTAGTAGTGCAGCCCCACCTATCTTAATGCACTCCTCTCGTCTGCCCTTCATCAAGGCAAAGACTGCTACCCAGCACATATATCATCTATTGTTTCAATGTCACACTGAATATGCCCTGACCCACAAAGTTAAAGCTGCATTTCTTCCATCGGTAAATCCAACCTTTGAAGCCTTGAAAGAGTGACGTGGATGGCTCTTCTTTAAACAAGTTTACATTGTCAAGAAAATTCCACTAAACCCAGAGCATTTTAGATGAATTTAATATTGCAACTTGGATATTAAAGGACAATGAAAACATGGTAGACAAGAGAGAGACAGAGAGCAAAGGCAAAAAGCTGGATTTGAAACAAGCCCTCTTCAGCCTTCTCTAAAGGACAACTTGAACAGAAATCAAGCCCTGGCAACATAGACTTGTTGTTTTGTTCAGTCTTTTTTATCTTGTGCTATATTTCACATGTAACTCACAAAACGGGACCAGTCACTTGACAGATCCCTTCTCGGCCGCCATTGTTTCTCTGTTAGTATTTTGTCATGTGGTATTCAAATATACGGTAGTAACAACAAAACAAAAAAACACAGTATGTTGGATTACCAGACGGGCCAGAACCTTCTCTAAAAATCTATTTCAATTTCACATCCTGTTCATACTGTTTCTCCTTTAGAAACATACACATTTTTCATTTTGTTAAACAGTTTGGCAAAAAAAAAAAAAGATATAGAATTGTTTTTTAAGCTCTTGTCTCTAGGATAATATTTATGCTCTTTTTGAAGTTTTGACTCTGAAACATAAAATTGTATTTTACTGCAATTGGNTTTAAATATGGCACCAAATAGCAATAATTTAATGATAAATATACAAAAACACATTTTGGTTTAGAGGTTCTTGGCAATTTTCTTAGTTATGTGCTTTTTTTAATGTGCAGTTAATCTTAGCAAAGTCGTTTTTGCTGAATACAGATAAAAGGCAGGCTGTAAAAACATTTCATCTATCATTAAACACGCGTCTGTCTGATTCGGCAAGCTGAATTCATTTTTCAGCATCACCACCTCAGACCTTTGTTCTCTGCAATATGGCTGTCAATATTACAAACATTTCTGACAATCTTGTATCTTATAAACGAGAGAGAAAAACATTCTTCTAATCTCAGATGTCAGCAGTAAATGAAAAATTTATAATTTACAGAAATAATAAACATAAACACATGGAAGGAATGTCAATACATAAATACATTTACAATAACTACATTTTTAAAACCATCGTAAGTTCAAAACAAAACTCACATAGACTTTTAACAATGTTATAAAACAACATTATACAACAAAACTGAAATTAGACCAAATTTGCAGCGACGCTTAATGACAACATAACTATCATACATGTTGCAAAAATTTACATTATTAATCTTACTTTTTTTCCCCATTTACAATTTTCACCCCCTGATACCATACATCACATCAGAACAACAGCTCGGGTTAATGGTAGGACAAGTGCATAGCAAAATAGAAGATTATTTCACAAGGTTAAGGAAACTGAAAACTGCAAAATTGGCTTTAAAAACATTTTAAAACCGTGTTTAAGGCAAATTTTATTTAAAATTGGCATAGTCGGAGAAAATGTCGACAAAGTCTTGTACCACCCTGTAGCAGAAGTCATACTGTTCCTGTATGGAATGAAGGAAAGGTGGATTAGTTGTAGTAAACAAAGCAACTCTACAGCTTTTTTAGAGAAGGAAAGGTATCTAAAAGGGTTAGGAAAATTAAGATTGTTAGGTTTTTGCTAACAATCCAATTATTCTATCTTTAAAATGCTTTTTGCAGTCTAAGAGAAACAATTAGCTGCTTTCCCTTGGAAATGCTTTTCATCTGGAGCGAAGAGCTGACACACTAATCATTCAGCTTAATCATATTTCAAGTAAAATACTAAGCTTAGCTAGGAGGAAAATAATATTTCCTGGATGCTGATTTTGCATCGGCAACAATAGGTTGGCATCTGTACATCGTCTATTTGGGTTTGACAAATCAATGCATTCTAACTTGGTTTGACTTGGTATCTGAGAGCAACTTAAAACCGACTAGAGTGAATAAAACTTCAGATCGTGGCCAGTCAAAATCCTTCCCCTTTGTGCTCTTGATTAGTTCCTTTGTTGCAGTGGGTCAGTGCATCGCTGCATGATGAAATATCTTAGTTCGGATAACAAACTGTGTCTGTAAAAAGTTCATTTTGCAGCCTTACATAAAAAGAAGTCATGATTTCAACTCTGCTGTGTTTCCTAGAAAGACTGATTTGATTGTGATCATGAGCAGATCCCAACTATATCCAAACATGAAGAATCAATGTCAGACTCATTATTGTATAAAACTTTTTCTCAGAATTGTTCAGGCTTAGGAGACCACTGAACCGGTTTTAAATCAGTTCTTTTTAGGGATTGGGTTTTCTGTTTTACATTTACGCCTGTCCTCTGGAGGTTATTGCTGTTGGCACCAACAGTTGCTTTGGGTTTAAATATGATGTCGTACCAACTGTTGCATCAAAATAATCCATTTATACAATTTGCAGTAGAGCTCTAAGTTCCTTGCTCATTTTAATCTTTGGAAATAATTTAAAAAAATGTTTTCAGTCTATAGCCAGCATAAAGCCTTGAGCTTACTGTCCCCTTACATTATGATAAGACTATCTAAAGAAACACTTGTATGGACTAAAGATCTAACATGTCATGAATAAAAATATGGGTTTAGAGCATCTTGCAGTCGCACAAATATGAATTAATACCTTTAATACCAGAGTATTTGGACATATTGATATGGTTTCTCTGACTGGGAGTTTGAATCAGTGCAACCCTGGAATAGTTAATAAAGCACAGTGTGCTTCCATCCTGGAGGGGCCACAAGATCACCGATTTGAAACTTTGGATACCTGAACCAGACCTTTAGCCCCACAATGCTACCTGGTTACAGCAAGCTGCTATCTGAAGCAGAGATTCCCATAATTTTTAGCTTCTGAATCACAAAATGGTACCTGAGTAGATTGATTACCCAAATCCTTGGTTTGGTAAACAAACATTTCTACAATATCTATCAACAGCTAATGTACTATCATTAAAAAAAATAACAAAACCCAAAGTAGTTAGTTTTGCCTATTTGTTAGTGATCCTTTAACACTTGAATTCAAATATTTCTAGTTTAGTTAAATTTCTGCAGTGGATCTCAAGTCCCCAGTGATCAAGTACTCCAAGTGGGTCCAAATGAATGCCCCAAAGCCGGGCATACACTGTGCGATTTTTTCAATCGTTGCACACAACTACAGTACAAACTGTACGAAAAAAAACGCAGGGTTTAAAAGTTCACAGCTCACGATGCATGTTCTCACACTGTGTGGCCCGACGCTCTGATGCTATCTTAAGACGGCAGACTGAATGTCAAACATGTTGGATTTTATCCGGACCTTACGATTTCTGATCGGGAGGTTATTGGAGAGGCTGTTGGCCCCTATTACCCCCTGTACAACGCACGATCAGGGTGAAAGTCAGCCTGGTCGAAAAATTCTCACACCACTGGGGAATCGGCCTGAAAAGTGCAAAAAAAAAATCGCACAGTGTGTGCCGGGCTTAAGGGACTGGTTAAATCGCAGGCTTATAAAGGGTATCGAAATGAATTAGATGTATAGTAGGCACATCTAGAACAGAAACTAAAGACCATTTATAGGGTATTAAGCAGTCACTGATGTGAGTCAGAGGATTTCTACTTACTACAGTGTTATCAGCACTTGATACAGTTTAATCAGAGGATGCATTGTGAGTGTATGTGGCCAGATGAGGGTTTTAATTACCATGTATGTAGAGACATTAAAGGAGACTGGATGAGTGAGAGCACCCACACTCTAACCTTTAGATCTAACGTTGCATTTGGCCTTTACTCCACTACTACAATACACTGCTTATATCTGCAAACTTCCTATGACTCATAGCATACATTAACATACATACATACTTTGGCCTTTACCCTTTTTCAGAAAGTACATTTTTAGATTACTGCCATTATTAGACTTTTATACTTACGACTGTTTGGACCATATGAGGCCTCTGCATGCGTAAACTCTTCACAGTTTGGAACACGTCCAGCAGGCCTTCTGCTTTGACTCGTTCCAAGATATTGCTCAGTGCGATGAACGTACCTGTTCGCCCTGCACCAGCACTGTAGTTTAAACACCAAACACAAGGTTCTTAATACAAATTTATTTAAGAAATGAAACCTTTTTGCAAACTGAAACCTGCCTGCAGTGTACGACTATGGGGTGGTTCCCAGACTGCTGCTGCTGTCTCTGCACTGAGGCGATGATGTCGATCATCCCTTTGCCCTCTGCCGGGATGCCGATCTCTGGCCAGCCGTGGAAGTGGAAGTGCCTGACCGTCCTTGTCTGCTTCTCCTTCGAGAGGAAATGCACAGACAGTTGAGAGATAATAATACCTTTGAAATGTGATTTATTAGCAGTTTATGAATGGTAACGGGACGTGATGTGCAGAATATGAGAGGTGAGTCGACGGGGGATATTCTGAGAGGCGAATGAGCAATCGCACCTCAGAAAAGTGGAGTGGGTCGAAATTAATGAAATATATGAAACAGAAGCCTCCGAGCTGAGGAGCCTAAACACATCCTGCTGTCTGCTTTTCACTTCAGTTTTGCTACATTTTTAGTGGGTGTGTCATCTTTTTTATCCTGATAAAGACATGAAAGTAAAGTTAAACTTCGCAAAACATTTTTTCTAATAAGTAACGTCCACAATTTCTTGTGTTTTTTCCCCTTTTAATGTATATCCTTTAAGGTCAGTAAGGTGGAAGCTTGCACCAATGTTTTTCATAAATATATGCCTGTGCAAATTCTTAGTCATCTGAGTGGCAACCACAAAATAGGCTTAAACCTTTATAGGGCAAATTACTGTTTTTGATCTCTTACAAACGAAGCCCCCCTTTCCCTCATATTCAGCCATTCAGCAAAGATACTGCTACATGGCTGTACAGTAGTAGCCATTCAAAAAATATGCACACCAGGTAGAAGGAGGGGTCACTCCAGTGTCAGAAAGTTGGAGGTGATTCTGCTAAGTTGCAGGGAAGTGGGCGGCCATTCGGCTGGTGTTTGACTGGGAAGGGCCTTTTTGAATGGCTGCTACTGTACATGTTATGTTGGTATTTGACCAATTAGATGAGCCCTTGAATGATATATTATCTACTGTAAATTAAGGTAAAAAAAAAGTTGAGAAGTCAAGAAAAAAAGGTAAAAATCTAAGCAAAAAAGTTCAAAAGCTAATTAAAAAGTTAATATGCAAAGTCAAAAAGTAAACTATGTAAGTGCCTGTATCAGCATTAATACTCTAAGGTTATCATGTAACGAAAAAAGGGTTTCTTTCACTTTTTGAGTGTTTTTCACGAACTTCTACAACATATCAAAAATTGAAAAATAACAAAAAAGTCCTTGTTATTACATTGACCTTAAGTTTAGCCATCAAAAAATGCATTTTGGGGCAGTGGTGGCCTCGTGGTTTTAGAGCCTTGTGCTTGTTATCCCCTTTATAGAGCACTCAGTGAAATACTTTGAAAGTCAAAATTTCAAGCCAATAGTGTTATTGGAATCAAGGACAAGAACTTATTTCCTGTGAAACATAAAAAAAGGATATTTTGATGGTAAAAATTTATGCCAATGTAATAACAACAAACACCAACTTGCCCGAATATATTAGGAAAAACAAAAACAAAAGAGCTTTTATAAGAAATTCATGAAAAACATTGAGAGTGAAACAAACATTTTTTTTTGTACAACATACCCTTAGAGGCATTAATGCTGATACTGGCACTTACATTGTTTAGTTTATAAACCTAAAAATACTTGTCAAGTAGGCTTATGAACTTTTTAATTTTACTTTTTAACTTTTTAATGAACTTTTTTTACTTTTTTTTTTTCAACTTAATTTACAGTAGGTAATATATAATTAATGGGCTCACCTAATTGTTTAAATGCCCAAATAAGATGTATATCCATGTAGCAGTATCTTTGCTGAATGGCTGGATATAGATCTTGTGCTTCTAGACCTCACTGAGGGATTGGGTGGAGTCCATTTGTAAGGCAATTGATCAAAAACAGTAACTTGCCCTATAAAGGGTTAAGCCCTACTCACGCAGACTGCCACTCAGGGTCCCTGAGCAAGACCCCTCACCGCTCCTTGGGCACCACACAAAGGCAGCCCACTTTTCCCCAAGGGGATGGGTCAAATGCAGAGGTGAATTTCTCCAGTGTGAGATTAATACAGTTCAATTATCATTATTATAACTACATATTTTTTTGAATGTTACAAAAGTAATAAGGTCTTGTCCGATAACACTCTTGACTTGAAATTTTGATTTTCAATGATCAAAATTTTATCGAAAAATTGTGAAGAATTTCAATGTGTACCCAATAAAGGCTTAAATCAGAGGCAAGCTTTCACTCAGGTTTTCTGAAAAAGTTTCCAAACCCTTCCAGGAGTGTTTGTCAGTTCCATTGGCTTGCACGGGGGCCGACAGAATATTAAAAAGCTTCTGGATGGGTTATGAAACATTTTATCGAACATTGAGTTTTGTCGCAAATATACTTCAACTACCTAGAGATTGTGGAATATCTTTAGAAAATAAATAAACACCTAAATGGCCATTTTTTCCTTAACTGTTAGGCATTAAAGTTTCCCAACACATAAGAGATGTTCATTTTACTTTTTTGTAATATCTCATGTAGTAACACATGTATTCTACTTGAATACATTGTGAAGGAGGTGTGAAAGAAACTGGAACTCCACATAAAATTTACATCTCTGATAGTGAAAGAGTTAATTTGCTTACCGGGACAAAGGTGAGTACCAAGTCTCGTAGACTGAAGGTTTCACACAGAGTATCTCCCTTCAGCTCTACAGTGTAGTCTCCGTAGGTAGCAGAGTCCTCTGTGGGCCAGTACTGGCAACACTTGTCCTGTAAAGCAGAAGCTTTACATCAACATGTGGAGTATAAAATATGGTAAAGTAACTAATGGTCAGAAAATACTGAATGTTGCTGAGATAAAAAAAAAAGCTAATGAAAGTATAGATTTTGCTGCATTTCAATGTGTAATGGCTCCAATGTGGTGTTGTTGTGGATCACCTGCTCCCTCTCCTGGAGCTCAGTAAGCATTACAATGGAGTGACATTTCCATTCCCACACCATTCTCCAGAAATCCTGTACTGTATGAGTGAGAGGTCCCTGGGTGGCAATGAAGTAGTCCTTCTGTCTGTATCCCTGAATAAAATCAGAACATGTATTTATTACTTTGATACAGCAGGGTGAACTATAAGTACTGTTGGTGACCTGCTACTGAAAGAAGAGGCTGCATGCTTACATGTATGAAAGATGCATTGATGTAATCTGTGAACTCCTGGCCTCTTCTCATGGAGAGAATGACTCTGTTGAAATCATCTGAAAAGGAAAACGCAGATCACAAACGTACGCTGGAGTGACAGTAAAAAAAAAAAAAAAAAATCATAATATGTGACACTTGATTGATTGATTGACCTTATTGATCTCACAGTGGAGATATTAACTTTAATTTACACATTAATTGATTTTAGAGCCTTGATTGATGGGAAAAGCAGGACTTTAGGAGTGAAGTTCCATGAAACCATCTGCAATAGTTCTCTCACCATTTGGAGAAAAAAATGATATAACTGAGCATGGTGGCAAAATTTAAACCCTTAGTGTGGTGAAAGATAATCAAATATTCAAATAAATGCTATTTTAGCTGCTAGCAATTGAAATAATCTCACAAAAAATACATAAATACAGTGGTGTGAAAAAGTGTTTGCCCCCTTGCTCATTTCCTGTTTTTTTGCATGTTTGTCACACTTAAGTGTTTCGGAACATCAAACCAATTTAAACAATAGTCAAGGACAACACAAATAAACACAAAATGCAATTTGTAAATAAGGGTGTTTATTAATAAAGGATAAAAAAATCCAAACCATCATGGCCCTGAGTGAAAAAGTGGTGGCCCCCCTCGTTAAAATATACTATAACTGTGGTTTTTAACACCCGAGTTCAATTTCTCTTGCCACACCCACTCCTAATTATTGCCACACCTGTTTTCAATCAAGACATTACTTAAATAGGAGCAGCCTGACACAGTAAAGTCCACCAAAAGATCCTTAAAAGCTACCCATCATGCCGAGATCCAAAGAAATTCAGGAACAATTGAGAAAGAAAGTAATTAAGATCTATCAGTCTGGAAAGGGTTATAAAGCCATTTCCAAAGCTTTGGGAATCCAGCGAACCACAGTGAGAGCCATTATCCACAAATGGCGAAGACATGGAACAGTGGTGCACCTTCCCAGGAGTGGCCAGCTACCCAAAATTACCCCAAGTGCGCAGCGACAACTCATCCAAGAGGTCACAAAAGACCCCACACAAGAACTGCAGGCCTCACTTGCCTCAGTTAAGGTCAGCGCTCATTCCTCCACAATCAGAAAAAGACTGGGCAAAAATGGCCTGCATGGCAGAGTTCCAGGAAGAAAACCACTGCTGAGGAAAAAGAACATTAAAGCTCGTCTCAATTTTTCCAAAACACATCTTGATGAGCCCCAAGACATTCTGTGGACCGATGAGACAAAAGTGGAACTCTTTGGAAGGTGTGTGTCCCATTACATCCGGCATAAAAGGAACATTGCATTTCAGAAAAAGAACATTATACAACAGTAAAATATGGAGGGGGTAGTGTGATGGTCTGGGGCTGTTTTGATGCGTCAGGACCTGGAAGACCTGCTGTGTTAAATGGAACTATGAATTCTGCTGTCTACCAAAAGATCCTGAAGGAGAATGTCTGACCATCTGTTTGTGAACTCAAGCTAAAACAAACTTGGGTTCTGCAGCAGGACAATAATCCTAAACACACCAGCAAGTCCACCACTGAATGGCTGAAAAACAAAATGAAGACTTTGGAGTGGCCTAGCCAAAGTCCTGACCTGAATCCTATTGAGATGTTGTGGTATGACCTTAAAAAGGCCGTTCATGCTCGAAAACCCTCTAATGTAACTGAATTAGAACAATTCTGCAAAGATGAGTGGGCCAAAATCCCTCCAGAACGCTGTAAAAGACTCATTGCAAGTTATCGCAAACGCTTGGTTGCAGCTGTTGCTGCTAAGGGTGGCCCAACCAGTTATTAGGTTTAGGGGGCAATCACTTTTTCACACAGGGCCATGATGGTTTGGATTTTTTTTCTATTTTAATAATAAACACCTTCGTTTACAAATTGCATTTTGTGTTTACTTGTGTTGTCCTTGACTATTGTTTAAATTGGTTTGATGTTCCGAAATACTTAAGTGTGACAAACATGCAAAAAAACAGGAAATGAGGAAGGGGGCAAACACTTTTTCACACCACTGTATATATATAAAACAGTATATAGCAGACATTAATGATCCTTTGTGTTATAGGGATCCACTTTTATCAAACCTTACAATAAAATTTTGCCCAACCCTTTACAATAAAATGGATCATTTTACAAGAAGCCACCATGAATCTGCTGATTTTCTGCCTAAACTGGTAACTAGCTAGCTGGAAGCTCTGAAATCCAATCCTCGTCTGGTCATTGAACACACCAAACCTCTTTACTAATAGGTTGCACTAACAGCACTCCTCCTGCATATACATTAATAGTAGAGGATCTATGTTGAAGAAATGTGAAAATCAGTGATATTTTTAAAAATGAAGAAGGGGGGAGTTTATAGGATAACAGGAAGGCTGAATGTTTTACAACAAAGTTGCTCTGCTTCCTTCATTTTAGTTTTCCAACACCATCTTTAAAGAAGATATTTGGATTTGGAAATATTGAGTTACAGATCATCAGTTCTATATTTCAAATCTGCCCACAATTAAAATGGATTCCTGTTTCTTACATGGAATTATTTGTAGAACTCTGTTCTTCTTCATGTTTGCAGGAAGGTTCCCCGTTCTCATGTTCTCCTTCATTATTCGCATGTTGGTCAGTTTCTAAGAAGTCAAAAAGAAAGCAAAGTTGAAGTATCAAAAGGAACTTACATTGGTGCCAACTTGTTAAGATTCAATTTCTGCTGAAAATTATTTTACCTCTTTAATAGCCTGTTCATGTATGTTGTTTTTATTACCGTAGAAATACATTATTAAGATTGCTGAAGTAGGTTTTGTCACAGCAGGGTTGTTTGTTGCATAACATAATTTAAATGTAATGGGGATTCCTTTTAAAACTGGACCCAAAATAATACCAATATGCATGGTCTTCATATAAAATAATATTTATAAGACAATGACACATTTCCTGAGCTCCCATCTTCACATATTGAACTATTTAAGCATTTCATTAGACAAAGCACAAACATTCAGCAGTGCACTCGATGCTAAAGAGAAATCAAAGGCTACCTTTCTCTATAAGCTATAACCTTAAAATCCCACCATGATCTTGCTGCTTCTTTACCAGCAGGTTTAGAAATATATTTATTTTTGTCCTATTAGAATTGTTAATAGAGCTGCCTAATAAAACAAGGACTAGTAATTCCATCCAGTAAGTATAGTCATGAAAAAACTAATTAGACCACCATTGCCATCAAGAAAAATGGTTCTTCAGTCAAGTACCAACTTATGTGTGTATCACAAGGCTACAGACAATGTTTTTGTTGGTGCAATGCTATAGCTATTGATGCACAACCTAAGAAAATTGGCTAGATAGCAGCATTCAAATTAAACTCCTTAAAGCTGTATTTGTTAAATAACCTGAAGGAAACCATGAGGATTAAATATTATTTTCCATGACTCTACCATAATATTGCAAAATACTTATTAAACATGTTGGCTAATTGAAGTATAAAAGGATAAAATAAAGAGGGATGTTTTTTCTATATTGGTTTATTTTTTATCCACAGCAATCTTTTAAATAAAACCTTGATGCTGCTATGAAACCATAGCAGACGCTAATTTACGCTTTAATTCTAGGTCTGTATTACTGTTATGGAGCCTAGGCAGACGTTCAACTGAAGAAACTCCACGTAAAGCCTCCACGAAAGCCAATGGGCATCCAAAGTTCATTTTAAAAGGCCTCCGATCCGCAGCTCTTCTGCTCCCTGGTGCGCAGGCGGTGGTTGCGCTGTGTGACTTCATTTAGATGACCCCATTTAGACCCACCTCCAGCCCCTCCTCCACTGTCATAGCTGAAACTTCATCAGAGCGTCATTCCTCCCGGACTCTTACTGCATTCCGCGTCTCATTTCAACCGGTCCGGCAGAAGGCCGCCATGTTGAGCCTGGTTCTGCCAGAGGTTTCTTCCCAATGGGGAGTTTTTCCTCTCCACTGTCACTTCATGCTTGCTCATCATGGACAGGTTCTCTCAACTTGTGTTATCCAACTGGACTTTCATCTTCCAGGTCCCTGAGTGAAGCTCTAGTATCAGCTCACGCAGTCCACTGGATCTCCCCATAAAGCTCAGCATACCGTCTCACTAACCAGCAGTCTACAGACTGACCAACTTCATCTATCTCCACTCCACCACCAGTTTCAGGCCTGGGGGGGAAACAGCCCTGTTCTTTACTCCTGTTCATGCATATCTATCGAAATTCAGCACTAATGTTTCCTGCCGAGGTCTGAGCGCCAAAGACAAATAATTGTAATAATAAATTTCTTCTAATTGTCTTTTCTCTTCGTGTGAGTTTTTCAGATTGAACTGTCAATACTTTTAAATGTGTGGTTTACTGCATAAGAGAAATTACTTCTACCAAGTTTTTAGAGATACAGCATAAAATCAGCTACTAATAGATGAATTGCAAGAGGCAACTGGTAAACTGTGTGCTCAAAAATCCAATCTTTTTTTAATCAGAAAATGTACCACACCTAACGACACTATTTCTCATAGACCTAAAGTTAGCATGTCTTGATATTCGCAAGGTGTTAAAAAAAGAAAGCGAAAGAAACAAAAATGAAAAAGCTTTTGAAAAATATATTTTCTTGATGTAGAAATGTCTTTGATTCAGTCTGGTAGACAAAGAGAGCAAGACTTTGAGCAGAGTCCAACAAAGTTAATCTGCTTTAGTTTGAGCTTCGCGTAAACGTGGAAGGGCTTCCACTAATTTAGCCAAGGTAAGGACCTACATACTCCTGAACATCAACTAACTGATCGCTATCATTCTAGTTCTACCCACAGTAATCATAAGCTAAAGATGCCAGACACTTCTTAATATGTAAACCATATTAACTTTAGTTTAAAAATAATAGGGAAGCTTTCTTTTGCAGGAACTGTTCTCTCACACAGCGGCGCCATGTCTCCTCTAGTGCTGCCGCTTTAAATTATTAATAACAGCTCACGGCAGAACGTGCAAAAAAACACTATGAATATTGTTCCCACATATATAAAAGCCCTTAACACAAATAAAGTGAATTCTACAAAGCTAAATATCAGAGTTTAGAAATTGTTTACAAACTTCTGATCAGTTCATCTCCATTTTCTTTTAATGTTTAATTAAGTATTTTATACCACTTCTTAAGGTTAACACAGCGTAATTTAAGTTAACCTTACTAGTTCCTTTTTATGATAATCTAGGCGTCTTATAGAGATGAAGTGCTAAATAAAATAAAATAACCTTAAACTCTTCCTCCAGGCCCACCCGGTCACCATCTGTGAAGGTGTTGTGCAGTTTTTGCAGATGTCCTTCCAGCGATGACACATCCAGCTCTGTGTCTCCATAGAGGTAGTATTCAAGCAAGGCCTGGTAGACAAACGAGTACTGGATCTAGAGTGGGGATAGACACATATTTTTCATGCACTATGTGTGAGTACAAGTATAGATTGTAGACAGAGGAGGTAAACATTCCCTGTAAGCTTTTCCCCGTTTTTGTACAGTAACAAAACCTATGCGGCAAAAGAAAAATCCGTCTTTAACTCACATCTGTCTGGATGAGCTGGGAGCGCTGCTCTCGTATCTTAGAGACGAAGCCAAACACATCAACTATTTGCTCTGTGTGCATCATGTCGATCATGGCGTCAATTACAATGAAGGTTCCAGTCCTCCCAACACCAGCGCTGGGGACAAAAAAAAAACAAACAAAACCCTTTATGAACCACAATGCTCAGCTGACACTTGTATGTTAATGGGAAGCAGGAGAAAACAAAGGGAACTCTGTGCCTGTAAACACATCTATTGCTATAATCAAATTTGTTTTTTTATTTTTTTGTTTACCCATATACTCTCAATGAGTAAATATAGGCCCAATTTTTTTCTCCCCATAGAAACCAAGTGGATAAATTAAATAAACAGGGGCTAAATCAGAGATGACATCTGTTTAGTTCAGGTAAACATTTTAAATGCATGAGCTGCTGAGTCTCCAGTACCTGCAATGGACTACAATAGGCCCAGCAAAGGGGGGATTCACTGCCTTGACTTTTTTCAGGAACTTGAGCATGCCGATGGGGGAGAAAGGAACCCCAAAGTCAGGCCAGCTGGTGAAGTGAAGCTGTGTGACCAAACGGGGTGTCTTAGCAGCATCACTGGCCTGCTATGAAAAGAAAAACAAAAACCTAATTATTTACATTTTATTATTTGATTTCGATGTTACAAAAAAAGCTGCAGTTGAGATGCAATGCAATGTTCTGTAACTGATTCTCACCACCTTAAAAGGTTTTATATGTATAACTAACCTAAGCTTTTAAGTTACTATAGCACCTAGCTATATATTTTTCAATAATAAACTATCCAATATGCTTATTGCATTATATTGTTCAGCCCTAGTCGAGATGGAAAGGAATTGGATAACCAAAGACAAGAGCAGAGCGCCTTGTAAACAATGTAGGAAAATATGGCTGAACACTGTGGCTGTCCAATAACAATAAAGTTTTTCTCTGATTTATATATTTCCATTTGCTGTTCAGTCACAGATGCGATATATTGTGTGAGATTGCTTGCAGATTAATTAAAACATATTTTATGATTTGTAGTATGATTTGTTAGTATGTGATTCAAAGATTAGGTGAAAGGATTTCCATTTTTTTAAAGGGTAATTGGTTTTAGAAGAGCACCATATATCATTATCACTTTATCAAATGTCTAATAAAGTGGAGGAGTCTCTTGAGTGCAGTAGATGTTCCTGTTCCTCTTTCTGTCTTTATTTATTTCCTTTCAACCATTAGTCATTCTGGTTTTTGACTTTTTCAGTTTATTTTTATTGTATTTTGCCCAATCTAGAAATATGCCTCTTTCTCTAGATCATCCGGCACAGATTAGTTATTCCCTTATTCCTTTTCCAAATCTGATAAAGATTAAGATATTCTGGACTCCAGGAATGAAACATAACACTGTGAGATTGTTTTCCCTGGGCGTTAACTTAGGCATACATCTTTGGTATCATGCTTGTTGATCTTAAAGTGAAGCAAATGTGAGCAAAAATAACTTTATAATAGATGATATCTGAGATGCTGGCAGTTGGAAAGTCCAAATTTATCTTGTGGTTTTTGGAACGACATCATCTGAATTATGCATCATGCTGTGGGTTGACTGTCATGTGTGCCTGTCGAAAAAGCCCAGCTAAGACGTTTGGCTGCTAGACTTTATTCTTAGAAACGTAAATAACACTAAGTAAGTGCCTAATATGATTACGTGAACTTTTACCTGGTACCAAACCGGTCTGATCAGGATGTACAACCATATTCAGTGCATTACTAAGTCGTTTCGATTGTAAAAGATTTTTTAGTCTAAATTTAATAGAGAATTAGGTCTGTAAGAGGCCACTTCCTCTACATCTTTTTATCTATTTCAGGGATTAAAATAATAACTGTTTCATTAAATGATGTTGGTAGAAACTCCTCATTATATGCATGGGTATACAGTTTAATTATTATTAATAAGTGTTGGGAAAGTTTAATATTTAATTGCATTGAAAAACTTTTACGGATCCCATCTGGACCTGTTTTTATATACCACTATACATTTTTTTATTGTGATCATGGTATGAAGGATTTTAAAATCTGTTTGGTCAAAAACGGGTTTGATAACATCTCTCTAGGAATGCACCATGTTCTATTTTCTGCTCAAACCTCTAAGAGTGCTTTTTAAAACCTTCTCTATCGCTACAAAAAATATGTGCTGATGGTATGATTTTTACACCTGCTAGGCTTTTTAAAACGGGGTTATTTGAGAATAAGTTACGTTGGAAATGTAAAAGCAATAAAGGTACCTTTGTACATGTATTAAATGACTAAATGACTGAACAATTAGTCACACCTCCATCTGAATCTGTTCCACTCTGTGTTTTAGGAGAAAGGTTTAGCCTACCAAATAGTTCAAAACAGAATTTTGCTTTAGTTTTAACTGGTTTTAATTTTTGCCACAAGGATTATACTTCCAAAATTGAAATTTTAGGAAAGCTCATGGGATCAAGAAGTGATAAAATAAATGATGGAGATTGCATATTTTGAATTATGATGGCTTAACTACATAAACATGAAATTAGATTTGCTAGAAAGGGATAAGATTTTGTCACAAGATTTTGTGTTTATTGGTTATCTACTGATACCAATATATTGTGAAATATTTTTGTTTAGTTTCTTTGTTTTCTTTCTGTTTGTGTTTTTGCTTTCAATATTAACCTGAAAAAAGTCCATAAAAGTTAAATGACAAAAATAAATGTGTGCCATTAGAGCAAAATAAAAATAACTTTCCAAATAAACTATAGAGAAAGTGGTTTAAACTTACATGCTGCACACAAAACTTGCGTATCGTATAGTCTACTAGCACTGTGAAGTCCTCCACTGCTACCCTCACGTTCCCATAAGTCCAGCAACCCTGGTCTGGCCAGTACTGGTAACACTTATCCTGCAGGAGTAAGCAATGAGAAACTGAATGTTATGTACTTTCATATTAAACCAGTGCAAAGTATTTGCTTTATAAAAGACATCATCCCATATTGTTATATCAGAGCAAATCACTTCAGATCTCATAAGGGGGGAATGCTTGAAATTGTCAATAACCAACAAAAGTGGACGATTACAGCACTAACTTTTAAAAGCTTATCAAACATTAAATAGTAACTGATTTAAACAATATTGATTTTTGATCATTTTTTTTTTACCATTCTTCTTTTCATTGCATTAAATCTGTAGTAAGCTCTAAAAATACAGGATATATTAACAAAACAGAAGAATTGCATACCTCTTTTCTCTCTTTTAAATTTGTCAGCATGACAACCGTTGCTACTTTGTGCTCCCATATCATCCTCCAAAAATCTGCTGCTGTCTCTTCTTTTGGACCTGGGAGAAAAAACATTCAAGTTTTATGTAAAAAAAAAAAATTTAAATTAAGACTTGAGAATAGTTCTATTTATAAATCCCCTTACCTTGTGCAGCAATGAATTTGTTCTTTTCTGTGTAACCCTGATAATAAAAAAAAATATATATATATATATGTTTTAAATTATAAAATAAGCTATTATTTTAAGTACACATCCCCAAAAAAGTACTGCATAAATTACATTGTTTTATAAAACTTGAAAAAGAAATGATCTTAATATTTTTGACCAATGTTTTCATTTTATAAATACATGTTTCAAATCTTGTAAAAGAGACCAGCTTACATCAACATAAGAGGCATTAATGTAGTCTGAACAAGGATTCCCATCCAACTGAGTCAGCACCACTCTGGCATGGTCATCTTTAAATGAGAAAAACAATTGGAAAATTGTTCTATCAGGACACATAGTTCATGGAAAACAAATGATTAATTATACAGAATTAGCAAACATTAAGGTAGTAATTAAGGCTTTAGGGGGATATCTGCATATTTTTGCTGTTAAAAGGGAGTTTTTCCTCTCCACTGTCACTGCAAGCATGCTTGGTGTGAGGGATTGCCTTTGAGTCATTGAGTCGATGCAATCAACTGGTTTTAGATAGAACACTTTGAATCATTTTGACTGTATGATCTGGTTGAATTGTCTTTGTAGTGCCTTGAGATTACATTTGTTGTGATTTGGCACTTTTAAACAAATTGTATTAAATTTTTTATTTCCAGCTAATGATAGATGACACAAAGCTGTGATCAGGGGCTTGCCTAACAATTTATTAGATTATGGTTGAGGGGTTTTCTGAAACAGCTGCTTGTAGTATGTAAAAAATGGCTTTAGAGATGTACAAAGATTATTTTCCAAAGAATTGGTTTTCTATAAAATATCTATTGGTATTAACCTCCTTTAAACTGCATGTGATTTTCAGCACCATACACTTAGAACACCCAATTTTAGCAACAATTGTTAAGGCCTTGATAAATCATTTAAAAACACAGGCTCCAGGTATAAAAAGGAAGGCCAGAGAGGAAACTATTAGAATATTGATTTGTCATTGCAAGTTGATGTGCAACAAGTATGAAAGCTCTACTCTATCTGTGAGAATTAAAAAAAAAAAAAAGTGTCAAAGAAACAGCGGTGTTTGCTTGTGTATGTGAAAACAGGAAGCAGAGTTCGCAGCTGCAGAACAGAAAGTAAGCTCACATGGAAGGATGTTGGGGTATCGGTTCTTCTCCTTGTTCTCATCCTTGTTGGCTTCTTCATACGTCCCCTGTGCATTGCCGCCTATCAGGGACTGTAAAGCAGAATTACAGATTATATACAGCCACACCTCATCAGCAATAGTCTGCCAGTAGCTATGCTGCCGAGTGAGGGCACTTCCTCTGCTACACTACCAAAGAACTTCAACTTCCTCTGTCTGATATAACTGTCTAAAAGAAAAAAAATACAATGCATTGGCTTTGTATGAGCTTAGTGTAATGCTTTACTTTGACTCAGATCCTCAAAAATAGCCAGAAATAGCCAAAGGGGTACTTTTTGGCTGGTGTGGGTGAGTATGAGATACGTATGTGTCATGGAGAACCTGACACATAGTGCTCCTTTTAATTTCCTACATCAAAATACAAACCTTTTAACCTGTGAAACACTTTTAACCCAGCTTTTATAGCTGAAGAAGCTAGGGATATACGTTGATTTTCTTAAAAGTAAAAGTTCAATCTACCTGCCTTAAATGAAAGATAAAATACTGTTTGGTTATTTATTTAACTTGAGAGAAGCTTACATTATACTCCTCCCTGAAAAGCTTGCCATCATCAGCTGAACGCAGCCGGTACTCCTCCTCCAGGTGGTCCACTGGGATGGGTAGATAAGTCTTCGATGCTGAGGGGGATTGGGGCAGGAGGACCACCGTTTGTTGCTCTGTGGGGAGGAAAACCACAGTCAGTCCCATCTTTCCTGATTGGTTTCTTCTTTTAAATGATTTCATACTGAAATATGTTAATGGCATAATAAATCTAATCATCTCAAGTGAACAGAAATAACAATCAACGATATGTTTAGATGTGTTAAATAACCAATATAGTCTTAATGATTGGGTTGAAATAGATCAGTGGTTCCCAACCTGTGTTTAAAACATCATTTAATACCTTCCAAAATTTGTACAAATTTGGTTCTTTTAGCTTTTGTTTCAAGAAACCTGAGTTCAAAAATATAAAAGTAATTATAAAAGTATAATTTTGCAGTTATTTTTTTACTTTTGAACTGAGGTCTTGAGTCATTTACATTAAAGCTGGCCACAGTTTGACCGCACTGTTAGCATAGTTCTTTAGCCTTTTATTTTAAAGATCTCGACCTAAACATTTCCAGCTTTACCTGCCCATGAGATCAGATTGGTAACTCTGCATTGTCTCAAAATCAAACAATCTGAAAGCTTTCCAGTTTGGACCAGCAGGTTGAGAAGTCATGGCATTTCTTTTAAGGAGAAAAACATTCACCCCTCTAGATAAATCCTATGTCAGAGAATCAAAAATAGATCATATCTGATTTGTTGTCTTTTAACTTTTTAGGGTTGGTAGCTCAGACTGCCATAAATCGCTGCTCGATCTCAAACAACAGATCCAACACACTCAAGTTACATCGGCAAGTTTTTTTTAAAGAATAGCAACACAGAGAATACACGCCAAATGCTATATAAATGCCTAAAATCTAATTTAAAATATTGCAAATTATTCTATACCTTTGATCAAAAGTTACACAGTGTTGTATTATAACAAAAACTATAAATTAGGGCTCTGGACTGTCATATTGCTTCTTGTTTTCTTTTAACAGTTTAATCCTTTTCAAGACTTTATCCAAAACTTGAAACTGTTGAAAGAACATTTCTGGACAGATTCTAACATGGTGTTATTGATTTTCTCATCTTGTGTAAAATCAAATTAATATCTCATAAATACAAAGGTATACACATTATTTCCTACTACATGGGTGACATTGAAACAGTAATGGACAGAATGTCATATAAAGGCAATAGTACAATCCCTATGCTTCATTAGATCATCAGCACATTTTTTTTCTCCTCCACCCCAAACACTAATTTCTTCCTTATTCCTAAAGCTTGAATAAGAAATGAGCAATAATACATCATTTTATATAAAAAGAGCTAAAAAAAAAACTGTGATACCTAACAGAAGTAAAGGTATGTTTCAGAAATATTCCGTAAAAGTTCAAAAAAATCCACTGGACTTGGTTTCCAAGATTTGAAGACGTTTCGCTACCTCTCCAGAAAGCCAGTGGACTTTTTTGAACTTTTACTGAATGACTATGACCTGGATGACTGAGAATCTTCATCAGCATGTTTCAGAAATATGTCATGACATCACATGCCATCTCTCTATGTTGTTCTCCAATCTCTTAATTACAAGCTGGATGGGCCACAGCCAATGTGAACAGCTGCGTGTCATACTATTCTGAAATAATATGCCCAGTTTTTTCTATCCTTATTTGACAGTTTAATCTAAAGCTTCTGCTTTATTATTTAGTTCTTGCAAAGAATTAATTTCATCAAATCTTTTTATAGTGAGCTAACAGCTATCTTTCAACATTTTCATGTCTATCTGTATGCTTTAAATGCTAGAAGTAATTTCCACATCTTTCAGACAACTCAATGTGAACAATGTGGTCCAAGCGTATATTATATGTAGTGCCAAACAGAATAAATTTAGGTTAAATGGAGGGCACTCATGAAGGGCTGACAAGGCTAGAAGAATGTGGTGCTCAAAGGCACCGATCTTTGTTTCATCAAAAACTTCTCAAATGAAAGTTAATAAATGACAGTAATTCAACTAAAACGGTCAACCCCATGTGAATCTTACATAAATTTGCCTCTCAGTTTCCTAAATGTTACTGTATAATGGAGGATTTTTGCACATTTTTTAAAAGACCCGCCCTCTCCACTTAAAAAAAAAAATGCTCATGCACAACCCTGCACCCACTCCCAAGAGGGAACAACTATTATATGCGTGCAGACTATGCACAAGCCCATTTCTCCTCATGCAAATGCACCAAACTTTCCATCACCATGTCTGGATAGAACACCCTGATCAGCTCGCTTAGCAGTGGGCTTTTTTGGCTCATCCTTCTTGTGGAAGGTGCTAGTGACTTACCACTTAAAAATCTGATTTAACTGAGCTGTAGTAAAATATTTATACATTGAAATTAATTTAATCTATTAATCTTTTAAATCATTCACATTGCCTTGTAAAATATAATGTAAGTTTTAATAAGCTGGAAGCCAAAATTTTCAATATTAAATGAAATATACATTTTAAAAATGCTGTGTATTGTGATTCTGTATTTCATCTTCTATTTTGAATCTAATTACCAAAATAAATAAACTTTTGATCACAATCACCTTTAATAACATTTGAAGTGGTGTTTTTTGTCTTAGAATATCTAAGGCCACTGAATTAGCCGTTTTCATTAGCATATTTCCAACAGTGTTTGGATGTTTTCCTGAGCTTACATAATCACATGTGGTGGGGAATCACTGAATTATAAAATCAGCTTTCTGAACCAATTTACTCAACAGCTATAAAAGTCATTCACATTTTATACAATGTCTACATCTCTGTCAATTTCCCAGATCAACAGGTGTTGAAACAAAATGATCCCTCTCCTAGCATTTGGTTATAGCTTTGAGAAAACAAAGGCTGAAAAAAGCACCCAGAGAGCATTAGTGTTAGTACTGTAGCATGCAGCTGCTTGTTTCACTGCCACCCTTTATACCTGACCTGGAGGTACAACGGTGTACAGCGACTCAGAACTGTATCCAATCTCTAAAACACAACAAAACCAAATCATATCACACAAACATGGACAGATACACAGTGTTTTGATTAATTGTGTATTCCTAACACCATGCTTCCACCCTCAGCTTTAGGAATCAAATACATGGTAAACTATTAAAATGATCAAACTGTTTAGATGTGTTCTAACTCCAACCAGCACCCAATCGGAGGCTTTCCTGAGGTCCTTCAGCTTCTAACCTGAGCACAACCCGCTCTGCTCTTTCCATAGTTAGATAAGAAAATACTTCCTCAAGAACATTCGCAAATCCTGATCATGAACCATTTCCTGCTAGATCCGATGGCTTTTATCACAATCCACATAAAACAACCCTGTTTTAGAATAATAGAGCTGAAAGGATGCTGCAAAAGCAGTTCTCATATTTGCATCTACTGAGTTGTGCATGCACGCTCACACATTCTACTTTCATCCTTGCTTTTTATTGTGTCTTTTTAATCTCTTTAAGCATTCTCTCAACAGTCAGTGATTGGCCTTTAAAACAGTTAATAAAAAAAAAACAAGGAATGAATGACTGAAGTCAAATTCCTTGTTTTTACACACAAACTTAGCTAATAAAGTTAATTCTGATCTTACTTCACAAGCAGCCTCAAAGAAGCTGTAAATGTTGATGAAGGTAGCTTTCTTTCACTCTCAATGTAAACCACAGGAAGTTTGAAGCAACCACAACTACTTGCGGGTCTCCATGCATGCACTTAGAGATTTAGAACCTGAATAGGTTCTACTGTCTGAGTGTCTTTTTCCAAAGTCAAAATATCTAATAGTATAAATATCTTTATATTTGCTTCTTATAGCCATCTTCTCAAGTTGCCTAAATTCTGCCTTGCCACCTCTAACTGTGTGTAGTTTCAGCTCAGTACCTTGTTCTTCCAAGATGCCATTCGGTATCTTCTTGTCAACGGCGGTGACGACTGCTTTTTTCTGGTTTTTTAACCTAAAGGAAAACAAATACAAAGCAAATTGACACACTGACAAAAACAACATTAAATACTGAATGACTCAATTAAATTTTTCTTTAACCAAAAAGCAATATTCCACACATTTAAACAATTTTTCCTACCATCTGAAGCTTGAGAAGCTATTTTTTCTCATTAGCTGGCGTCTTGAAGAGGCAGTGTTGATGTTAAAATGTGGTACAGAATTTGTTCTTCAGTCTAAAGCTGCCTGTAGAGCTCCTCTGTCACAGCCTGATCTGCTCTGCTCTGCTCTGACTAAACATGCGAGGGAGTCTACTTCCTGACCGGGCTCCGCCTCAGTGACTAAAAAGGAGGAAGTGTTCGTCACCCCAAGCTCCGCTCCTGTGCCGGGCTCTACGCCAGGGGAAGGAGGAAAGGCGAGCCATGCTAAGGGTTGGAAAGGTTTTCTTTTTCTTCATTTTTTTTTTTTACCTGCGAATGTACCAGGCCAACAGCGTAAAGATGAGCACCAGCAAGAACACAATCAGCACAATGGAAAGGATCTGGTGGCTGGGCGATTCATCTCCTCCTAAGATGGGGGGAGGAGAAGAGGTTAACAAGCAATGCCAACAAAAACACGGAGAAGGCACAAACAATAAAGGTGCATCTCAAATCAAATATTAAAGTTTAACTTATAATTAGATAGATTATTAAAACACTCTCCCCTTTAGTCCATCAGGGTCGTGATGGGGCCGGTAGAATTATACATTTTGAACTTTATATTTGTTCAAAAGATGCAAAATACAATGCTGAAAACTACAGGTAGCATCTACAAAGAGCATGTCAGCAGAGGGAAAGCTGAAGATGCTGCTCTGAATGAATTTGTTGTAACACAAAGGACCAACACCAGCGGATGAAACGGGTACCCAAAAGACCATTTGGGAAATTTCCCTCTTGAACTTGAGCGACATTGACTCTATTCTTTCTCCAGACTCTGTAACATGTTTTTATAATAAAGGGCAGCATTTCTTTTTAAGGTTCAATCCTTTTATATCTTAGCACAGATGAGATTTTTTTTCACATCTGTGGTTCAGGAGTGGCCTGAAATAAGTACAGTAATGCAGTTCCAGCCGTTGTTCTGAATAATCTTTGTGTCGGTTCTTATCCCAACGATTCAAGATGCGTTCAACGCTGTAATTCTCCCCCAACATTTTTTAAGTGGACGTTGTTACACATACTTCTCAAGGCTGAGATTATTCCTGTTGCTGGCACGTTGTATTTAGGGAGCACATAGCAATCTTAAACTTTTGACACTTACATCATTGTGGAGGGTTTCTGCGATTGTCTTCTCCACATTTGTGAAGGTAAAAATATGAATAATATGAAATATCTGTCAAAAAATAAAATAAAATACACACAGATGCATATATATATATATATATATATATATATATATATATATATATATATATATATATATATA